GCTGCTGCTGCTGCTGTTGTTGCTGCTGCTGCTGCTGCTGCTGCTGCTGCTGTTGCTGCTGCTGTTGTTATTGTTGCTGCTGCTGTTTCTGCTGCTGCTCATTTTAAAGGGAAAAGAAGAGAGGGTGGAGGGCTGTAAAACCGACAGAAAAACAACACCTCTACGAAAGGAGCAGCAAAACAAACAAAAGAAAAGCGAAATGAACAAAAAACAAAACAAACAAAACAAACAAAACAATTTCTTTCTCTTCTTGTCTGCACCAGAAACACGCAGAGGAAGAAGACGGCACCTATGTAAATATATACACATATATATGTCTATACAGACATACATATATTTATATACACCCCAAAGAGATCTTTAATATAACACCAAACAAACAACTGCACAAAGGAAACAAAGAAGAAAAATATAATACAACCTCCAACTACTATGTTTGCTTAGTAGTATGCATGCAGGTAGGAGAAGGCGGCTGGTTGTTGTATTGAAGCTACTATAAAGGAGAATATACTGCATATAAGCGGAAGAGAAAAGTAATATATAATATATATTGAATATAATATAAAAATATATATTAAGTGCAAATAAAAAAGCAGAAAGAAAGAAAGAATGAAGAAATATATTACAGCCGTTCGTTCGTTCTGAACAATAGAAACCAGCAGTAGACACCGCGTCGCTCTTATAAGAAAACCAACTTCAAAAATAAGGAAAAAAAGATAAAATAGAGTTTTGTTTTCAAGAAAAGCGTGTAGAAAAGATTAAAACAATTATTTTTTAGGTTTTTTTCTCTTTTTATTTACCCCTGCATGGCTGCAGCCAACCTGCATGTAAATATTTTCGGTGTACAGACAGAGGGCGCGGGGCTCTGATGGATTTAAATTTTTGAAGAAATCTTCGAATAAAAAGAGGGAAAGCTGAAGAAATTGAATATTAATGAATATTAATTAGTATTAATACTTTAATTTTCGGGAATATTCTTTACTATTTACGTTCTAAATACCCCAACCCGCAGCTTCCTCTGTCTACGCCGCTCAAGAGTTTCTGCAAAACTTGAACAGCCCTCCATTCTTTATTTCTTTTTCTTTTTTACTCTTCTCTTTTTAAATAAACTGCATTTTCTTAGCTTTTTTATTTATCTGTTATAACATTAGCTTCTTTCTGCTTCGCAGCTGCCGCCCCTTTCTTTCTCTCCTTCTCTCTCTTTCTTTTAGCTGCAGTGTACAGACATCTTTTTATTTCATTTAACTCCTTTTCTGCTATTTTAAACTCCTTTCGTATTCTTCTTCTTCTCGATTTCCAAATGTTTGTTTTTAATCTTTCATTTCCCTCTCCTCCATCACCAGCGCCTTGCCTCCCTTTGAAGTTGCGGTATACGTACAGCCCGACCCACCACCTGCTGATCTCCTATCGCCACTCTACCTCTTCAGCGCCGTAACGCTCTTCCTCTGGGGTGCCTATACACCCCAGCAGCCGCTATGGCCTCTCTATACAGTGCAGCAGCAGCAGCTGCAGCTACTGCTGCTGCTGCAGAGGAAAACTGCAGCAGCAGCAACGCCAACGACAACAACGCCCAGAGCTCAACAGGGCAAGCCGGTGCTGCTGTCACGACAGCAGCAGCAATAGCAGCCGCAGCAGAGGCAGCAGCAGAAGAGGCAGGAGACGAAGCAGCAGCAGCAGAGGCAGCCATAGCAATTGATGCAGAACAATCTGCTGCAGCAGAAGCAGCGCCCCTTTCCTCAGCAGCAGCAGCAGCAGATACAAATGGCACTGAGAATGTGTCTATCTTCTCGTTTTCAGGGGGATCTCCAGCAGCAGCAGCAGCAGGAGAACCAGCAGCAGCAACAGCAACAGCAGCAGCACCAGCCATAGCAGATGCAGCATCGCCAGCAGCTGCAGCAGCAATAACAGCCCCAGAAGGACCAGCAACAACAACAGCAGCAGCAGCGGGAAGCAGCAGCAGCAGCAGCAGCAGCAAGGCGCTGATATCTCCTTATTTGTATGACAGCACATCGCCACAGGAGAGGCAGCAGCTGCTGCAGCTTTTACTCTATTCAGAGGTGAGGGATCAGCAGGTGCTGCTACCGTCTGCCTCAGATGCTGCACGTGGGGCCCTGATTCCAGCAGCAGCAGCAGCAGCAGCAGGAACAGCAGCAGCAGCAGCAGCAGGAACAGCAGCAGCAACAGTCTCAAAGGAGGCAGAGCTCGATCTCTTTCCTCTGCCGGAGTTTGTTAGGGAGGCAGCAGCAGCAACAGCAGCAGCAGCAGCAGCAACAGTAGCAGCAAATGAATTTTCAGCTCAGCAGGAGACCCGCCCGGTTGCTCCAAGTGCTGCTGCTGCTGCTGCTGCAGCTGCAGCAGCTGCTGCTGCTGCAGCTGCACTTGCAGAGGCCGAAGCAGCGAAAGAGACAAGAGGAGCTGTACACTCTGCTGCTGCTTCCTCTGCAGGAGCAGCAACAGCAGCAGCAACAGCAGCAGCAACCGAAGCAGCAGCAGATGCGCGAGACACAGCAGCAGCACCCGAATCATCAGCAGCAGCAACAGCAGCAGCAGCAGCAGCAACAGCAGCAGCCGCAGCAGCAAGTAGAAGTGAAGTAGAAGCAGAATTATTGTCTTCACTTGATGCTTTTTATTTCCAACGAAATTTGCTGCTGCTGCGGCTGAAGCAGCAGCTGCAGCAAGCGCAGCAGGAACTGCAGCAACTAACAGACGCAAAAGCAGCAGCAGATGCATTTGTTGATGTAAGAGAGCAAAGCCTTATTTATTTATTTATATATTTATTTATTTGCTTGTTTGTTTGTTTATTTGTTTATTTATTTATTGCGTTTCCTGTCTTTCTGCTTCTCGGTGTTAGATGGTGGTTGCGAGGCGTGTCTTGCTGCTGCTGCTGCTGCTGTTGTTGTTGTTGTTGCTCTTGCTGCTGCTGCTGCTGTTGTTGTTGTTGCTCTTGCTGCTATTACTGCTGCTGGTGGTATTGCTTGTTGCTGCTGTTGATGGTGGTGCAGTTGCTGCTGCTGCTGCTGTTGCTGTTGCCTCTGTTCCTCCAGAAGCTGATGCTGTTGCGGCTCTGTTGCTGCTGCTGCTACTCATGCTGCTGCTGCTGCTGCTGCTGCTGCTGCTGCTGCTGGTGTTTAATTTTAGGAGTTGCGTCAGGAGATAGCGGCAACGCGCGCCAAACGAAAACAGCAGCAGCAGCAACAGCAGCAGCAGCAGCAGCAGGGTCGAGTGTATTTTGAGCCTGTTGCTCCCAACAGTGTAAATGGGCTTCGTCGTTTTCGTTTTGCTGCGGGTGCTGCTGCTGCTGCTGCTGCTGCTGCAGCTGGAGCAGAAGAGGATGTTGCTGCGGAGCCTGCAGCAGCAGCAGCAACA